ATGAGACTGTGGCTCGTGAACGAATATATTGCATGGGTACAATGTTTCGAATGTATTGGTTCAATCGGTTAAAATTACATTAGATTTGATAGCGTTGAATTGGCGTCAAATTAAGTAAAAGTATTGAAGTTTTTTGCCTGCCACCGCCATACTACGGCGTATTATTTATTGTTATAATATTGGAATAAATATTCTACAAAACAATCGAATATGGAACTCAAAGGAAAGCATCTGATTATTCTTCTGCTTCTGCTTCTGCTTCTTCACCTGAAAAATCTTCGTGACCTGAAAAAAATAATACAGATCAATCAAAAAGATCAGCCCAATTTCTTATTTGGTAAAAATAAACATTTAACATTATTACCATTCTCAGCAGCTAAATCAGAAGATGTCTGATTAAGAGAGGCTGTATGATCACGCTTGGCTCCTTTCGTGTGAAGGAATTCAACGACATCCGTGTGACCTAAATAACAAGACAAATCAATGAAAAATATAAGAAAAAAAAAATCATATTTAGTGAAAATAAATATTAAACATTACCATTTGCAGCAGCCAAATGAAGAGGTATTCGCTTTTCTTTGTCTATAGGATCAACTGTGGCTCCTTTCGTAATGAGTTTTTCAACGACATCCTTGTGACCAAACAAAATAATACGGATCAATGAAATTTAAAAGAAAAACCAAATTCTTATTCAGTGTGAATCGACGGTCGCAAGTGTCAAACGTAAATGCTCAGTAGCGACAGTAAGAGTATTCTTACCATTCTCAGCAGCAAAATGAAGAGGTGTTTGTTTAATGTGATCTTCAAAATTAACATTGGCTCCTTTCATGATAAGGAATTCAACGACATTCTTGTGACTTGAAAAATAACCCGGAAATCAATGAAATAGATCAAATCAAATTCTTGTTTTTTTGAAAATAAATGTGCAAAATTACCATTCATAGCAGCATAGTGAAGTGGTTTCCGCTTAAGTTTGTCCGTAGAATCAACTTTGGCTCCTTTCTTGATGAGCTTTTTAACGGCCTCCAATTGACCTGAAATAAATCAATGAAGAACTTTTAATCAATTCCTAATTTAGTGAACATAAATATCCAAGGTTACCCTTCTCTGCAGCGTCATCTGTCCGGCCATGTTTCGCGCACTCACTCAGAAAGGAATTAGTACGATTCATATATACCAATGGTGATCTGTCAAATTACCATCATTACTATTGGCGAGAGTGGCGATTTTGTATGTATTGTATCTGCTCTGCTGTGCGATATTACTATGTCACAAAAATGTATCGGTAGTAGTATGGTCATATTACAACCAATACCACTTTGTGACATAGTAATATCGCACAGCAGAGCAGATACAATACATATACAATATCTCCACTCTCGCCAATAGTAATGATGGTAATTTGACAGATCACCATTGGTATATGTGAATCGTACTAATTCCGTTCTGAGTGAGCATTTATCGTTTACTAAAAATTGAAGAAAAAAAACGGATTAATGAAGTGAAGCGAAAGAAAATACAACGAATTTATCATCAATTGATTTGAGTTTTGGTTAATTTAGCTAGGATTCTTTGCTGGATTATATCGAAAATACCTTTATACATCAAACAGTGCTTTGTATATAGAATGGTAAGAATGAAATTTAAAAATGAAATGGAACTTTAATCTTACCGCCCATTATTCCTGCCTTTGCTCTGGTTAAAAACGGACGTCCACCTTCAATTTGCTTCATGTTGAAAATTGTGAACACATAAGGGATAATTAGTTTGAATTAACAAAATTGAACGAATTGAAATAGAAGGTCAATCGATTTTTGAAACTGAAAAAAACAATTTGCAAAAATAAAATGTCGGGTAGACAAGAAATTTGAAGATTTCTAGAAATGACATTTGAAACAAAATAAAACAGTACATATCTCGTTTGGTATTAGCCGTCAAACATGTTCGAACGCTTGTTTGTTCAAAAAAAGTCATTCGGACATTTTTATTAAATTTAAACGTTCATTCGAAAATGATCGTTTGATTTTATTATTAATAAACTTGAAATACACAAGAAACAAACCATGTTATAAGCTTTATGGGTAAGACTAAGTGTAGATCTCGTATCAGTTTCGTGATGAGGGAAAAACCAAAATTGTCATTCTTGGATATGGATTTAAAAACTATATCACTATCGTCATTAAAACCAGCTAATTCTTGTCGACCCCATGCAACAAACATGAAAAAATCTTACCTTGAATTGGACTCCCAAAACCGCAACCAGAATCGAATAAACTAAACGGAGAGAAAATATTGATTAGAACACAATGAATGACTAAAATCTCAAGTATTGTCAAAAATGAAAATTAGAAAAAAATGATGGAAAAAAGAGCTAAGAAGAGACTCACCCATCAATTGCTTAGACATGTTTATAGTCAAATCACTTGAACAATAACTAAATTTCCACTAATCCGGTGTATCATTTATAGTCAAAAATTAGATTCTGTAAACATGTCGTCATTTTGACACGTACAGAAAAATCAAATTCCTTGCGACTAAATTCGAGAATAAATTATCAAAAAAAATTGTTCTTCATTCGAGCTTATTGCGTTATTTCTCGCTTTTTATCCATTTGCATATGTTTCAATGGTTGGAATGC